CGCTCTAATAATTTTAAAATAACACAAATTGTTGAAAAATCTTAAAGACGAATTTGCGGATAATACCCTCAACACAATACTTTATATGCTCCTTAAAATGCATGTGGTACACCCTGAACGAAAATTTAAGACTCTTCCACAGTTCTTGCACTTTAATATTTGGCCTTCTTCATTTTTTCAAGCACTTCATAGTATTGCGAAATAAATAAGCGCACTCTTTCCGAACGAGGCATGATTTAACTTGAAAATTGAGATTGAGACTTGAAGTCTTGAAAATTGGAGATTGAGAGATTGAGAGAAATGTAGATTGAGAAATGAGTATTGAGTATTGAAATGAAGAAGAGGGAGGGGGATACTTATAGTGTTAGAGAAGGTTAGTTTTGTAAATTGAAAAAAAAAACGGCTATTTGTGCAATTAATATGACCGTTGGTGGTCATTGGGGGTGGGGCCCTCATTTTGAAAAATCTTGTTTTGTAGTATATATAGTACTACTTCTTAATGTATATATATATATATAGTATATCTAGTATAGTATACTATATATTGTATGTTATGTATATATATTCCCTTATATAATTTGTTGTAGTATATATTGTATGTTATGTATATATATTCCCTTATATATTTTCTTGTAATATATATTGTATGTTATATATATATATTCCCTTATATAATTTGTTGTATATATTGTATGTTATGTATATATATTCCCTTATATATTTTCTTGTAGTATATATTGTATGTTATGTATATATATTCCCTTATATAATTTGTTGTAGTATATATTGTATGTTATGTATATATATTCCCTTATATATTTTCTTGTAGTATATATTGTATGTTATGTATATATATTCCCTTATATATATTTTCTTATAGTATATATTGTATGTTATGTATTATAGCTTATAATAATTGCAAGTTAAAGACAAAAAATATTGCAAAGAGATATTCAAGGGCATGTCTTATAATTTTTATTACCAAAAATGGCATATCTTTCGATAATTCTCCCAAGAGATTTAAGTTCATTTGTTAGTGTTGTGAACCTTGTGTACATCTACCTGGATAGTTTCTCCTTCCTTCATAGTGAAATTCTCATATTGAGAATATAGCAGTGTTCCTCTTGATCTCTTAAAGACGAATTTGCGGATAAATACCCTCAACACAATACTTTATATGCCTCCTTAAAATGCCTGTGGTACACCCTGAACGAAAATTTAAGACTCTTCCACAGTTCTTGCACTTTAATATTTGGCCTTCTTCATTTTCTTCAAGCACTTCATAGTATTGCGAAACAAATAAGCGCACTCTTTCCGAACGAGGCATGATTTAACTTGAAAATTGAGATTGAGACTTGAAGTCTTGAAAATTGGAGATTGAGAGATTGAGAGAAATTTAGATTGAGAAATGAGTATTGAGTATTGAAATGAAGAAGAGGGAGGGGGGGTACTTATAGTGTTAGAGAAGGTTAGTTTTATAAATTGGAAAAAAAACCCGGCTATTTGTGCAATTAATATGACCGTTGGTGGTCATTGGGGGTGGGGCCCTCATTTTGAAAAATCTTGTTTTGTAGTATATATAGTACTACTTCTTCATGTAAATATAATATATATAGTATATTAGTATAGTATACTATATATTGTATGTTATGTATATATATTCCCTTATATATTTTCTTGTAGTATATATTGTATGTTATGTATATATGAGCCTTATATATTTTCTTGTAGTATATATTGTATGTTATGTATATATATTCCCTTATATATTTTCTTGTAGTATATATTGTATGTTATGTATATATATTCCCTTATATATTTTCTTGTAGTATATATTGTATGTTATGTATATATATTATAGCTTATAAATAATTGCAAGTTAAAGACAAAAAAATATTGCAAAGAGATATTCAAGGGCATGTCTTATAATTTTTATTACCAAAAATGGCATATCTTTCTTAGTCTTCTTCCCCCCAATGGAATGAGCACAACAAGGTACTAATACCACCATTAAAAGGAAAAAAAACTAAAGAAGATATGCCAAAGTACAAGTTACACCATAATCTACATTGTATCTCTAACAAATCTCATAAATCCTTCAAGGTTCGGAGGAGGTTCCGTTGGTGGTGGCGGAAAAGAAGCTTGTTCATCACCGCTTCCAGGCGAAGCAGCATCCTCCGCAAGTTCCGCTATCATTTCTTCATAAGCTTCGTCTATCTCCGGTTGTGATTCTGCAAGTCCAAAGTTTCTTCTTTCCGAGCGGATCCAATCTCTGAATAGTACTGATTTTTCCAAGCTCTCCCTCATAGACGCTCTATGATCACCTATTTGAAGTCTTGCTTGACTGAAAGCGCTCTCTGATGCAACTGTTGAAGCTTGAATAGATAAAATATCCCGAGCCATCCTTGAAGCTTGACTGAAAGCGCTCTCTGATGCAACTGTTTATAAGTAGGATTAAAAACTTTTCTAATATAATGCACAAAATTAGGGTTAGAAGGAAAAGTATATGGTAAGCACATAACGGTAACCATCTTTGCTAATTCTTCACGATCTTTATTAGGATCGTAATATAAAATACCACCGGTCACGGTGTTAATTCCTGGTTGAACTAGATTTGAACCTGTACTAGGGTTAACCGCATTATCTACACTTGTCCCCTCTTGCTGCGCTTTCATTTGTAAATATTTAACTTTATCTCTAGGGTGTGTTTGTATGTGCCTAGCCAAACTCCCCGTACCGCTACGGTCTCCAGTATATTTATGCGCCAGCAATTTCCCACAAATTTTACACTTAGCCTTATTTTGTTCTCTTACTTGAGTAAAAAAATTCCAAACTATTGATGTTTCTAGGCGTTTAGAAGGTTGTCTATTAAAAGTAGGGGTTTCTACAGGTGGGTCGGGCGGGGCATCAGTTGAGTTATTAACAGGACTAGTAGGTGAATCATCTAAATCCGGTTGGGTTTCATCTACATCCTTATTTTCCTCATCATTTTCTAAGATAGTTTGATTAGGATAAAGAGCATTCATAACTTCTTCATTTAATTGTTCACCTGGTGCAACATTATGGCAAAATTCACTATCGGAAAATTGAAAACAAGGGTTATCACTATCAAGAATAATAGGAGCAGCAGGACGGGTAACAGGTCTGGGTCGGGGAGCCGGGGGAAGGGTAGTAGGTTGGAGACTACTTTCACCAATTTTAACTTTTCCCTTACCACCAAACATTTTTTTCAAAGAAAATGCCATATTAATTACAATTATGCAAACTAAACACACAAAAATATATTCTTAAAACTTAAGAGTTGGAACGAGTTTACCGAATTGCCGAACAACTTCTTGAAAATTGAAAATCGTTGAAGACTTGAAGACTTGAATACTTCAATTCACCAACTTCACAATTTTTCACGAAATTGCAATAATAAAATAAGCAATTATAGAAGAGAAATTAGATATAGATTGAGAGAGATTGAGAGAGATTGAGATAGATTGATGAATTGGTGAGTAAAAATGAAAGAATGAGGGGGTATTTATAGTTGAGAATTGGGAAAAAGTGTAATTATATAAAGTTTGGGGTTAAAGTAAAGTTTGGGGGCCAAATGGCTATTTTTTAAAGTTCCAAACGGTTGAAAATTAAAGGCCAACGGCTAGATTTTAAAATCTGACCGTTGGTCTTTTTAAAAAAAAAAAAATTTTTTTTTTAAAAAAGAGCCGTTGGAGCCCGTTAGGACCGTTAGGCCCGGTTGAACCGGCCCGTTAGGCTTAGCGGTCCCGGTCTCGTGGGCTTGACGCAAGGAACCGGCCCGCCCCGGACTTTCTACACCACCAGGGACCGGCCCACCAGGACCGGCCCGCCGGGACCGTTTAGCCTGTTAAGACCGCGGGCCCGATCCCAGCCCGGCCCACAATACACCATTAGTGTGGAAGTAATTAATCTCCATATGAAATTATCTACAACTTGACCGGAGAATAATGGAGTCCACCTTCGCTACAAATGGTTATTTGTTGATTCCGATTCCTTGGGCATTAAATTTTTTCGTGGGACTTGAAATTATGAAAACGGTTACAAGTTAAATATACAAAAAATATCTATATCATATATAAAATATATATTTTTATTGGCTATTAATATTAGGAGCAGCTATAATATGTAGTTTTCCCAAGAAAAAAACATTTAACAAAATGTTGGAAGAGGAGAGGACCAGTAGTACATATAAATGACTTGTAGTATATTTAGTCCACGAGCTTAATTATGATAATGAAGTAACTATCACCAAGAAAGTAAAAATAAAGTAATTATTTAAGTAAGCTTAGGGTTGACAAAAAAAGTACTAGAGCCCGTTTGGCTTAGTTGATTTAGAGTAGCTGATAAGCATTAGGTGTTGATAAGCACTTTAAAGTGCTGAAACTGATTTAAAAAATAAGCAGTTACGTGTTTGGATAAAAGTGCTGAAATTAATAATAAGCAGCTGAAGAACTGGGTATACGAAGAGTTTTATTCTAAATAGAAGTATTTTAGGATAGAATAGTAAATGTTTTGGTCAAACCTAAAGTGCTTATAAGCTGAAATTTGATAAGTTGTGGGAGACCAACTTATGCCTTTTGGCTTATAAGCACTTAACTTATAAGCACTTTTAATTTTACCAATCGCGTAGATAAGCCAAAAAGTACTTATAAGCCAGTTTGACCAGCTTATAAGCTTAGCCAAACACCCTCCTAGTTGTTAGGAGAGAATTCCGTTACATTAAAAAATTAATTTCTTGTTTTTTTTTTTCTTTTTCCTTTTCTTACTCTCTTACTTTCAAAAAAGTGAAGGGAATCGAAATAAGAGGGTCAAACCTAATACTTTTTGTTTCCATTCAAACATCAATTTTCTTAATATTTTTTAATTAAAACTTACATTATTAGTATTAAATAAAAGCACTATAAATTATAATTTTTTTTTAATCAGTGGACCACTTGAGCAGCATCTTTATTCAATCAAATACGGGACAACATATTGCTGCATTTCTTGAATATCCATTCCAAGGTGAATTCCTGGTAACTTTATGAACTTCACTTTTCCAGCTTTATCCAATGTTTGTAATCCAAACGTATCCTCTACATAAAGATTAGTCTGCCAAAAAAATATATATTTTTACTCCTAATATATAACATGGTTATTAATTTAAAAAGGTGCAAATTGGAAAATAATATTACCTGTTGAGGTGGCAAAATTTGAGAGTATGTTCCATCTTGATAAAAGCCAAACCAAGAACTTTCTTTTGGGTTTATCACACTATCATTTTCAAACTGTAAAGATATTCAAATTAAAATAAAAAGGGGATTATTTAGTAAAAAAAGTACATTATTGAATTAATAAATATAGGTGGAGATAAAATAAATGTACCATGATAAGTACAAGGTTCTTCAAGCTGGTGAAACGTTGCTTATAAATGGGATTAGTTGCATTAGGAATTTCATTATTAAGCTTTGGTAGATACCTACAACCTTTCAAATATCCAGCAATATCCTGAGAAAAAGAAAAAGAATATTAAATTATAATCTTTTTCCAATTTAAGAATTAATATTTACGAATATAACCAAAGAAATATATAAGAAAGAATTAATTACTCACTTTTGGAAGCTTGGTATAGCCACTAGGAGCATAATGAGCCTAAAGATTTGCAGATGAAAAACTCGATAATCATTTGAAAAAATTGAGAGGAAATTAAGTAAAAGAATAAGAAAAGAGAGAATATACTTGAACATAATCGGAGTATATTCCAACACCACCAGCTTCAGCACACCAAGCTCCACCCTATTAATTAAAGAACATAAGTTATTTTATATTACACCAACAATGTAAATAATTTATATACTATTTACGTATATTTAACTTGTGATAACATGCAGAGGCGGACCCAGGATTTGAGCACGACGGGAGCACCATTATATGTTACTATCAGAGGCAGACCTACATTGATGCTTGAGGGGTCACGGGACCCCGTTAGTCTCGACAAAAACCAGTATATATATATATATATATATATATATATATATATATATATATATATATATATATATATATATATATATATATATATATGCATACAACTAGGATCACTTAAATATTTTTCGTGTGCCCCCAAACGCAAAGAGGCAAGCTAGAAGCGTGGTTTTGTGGTTTTGTACTTGGATGATAAGAGTTGACGGATATCCGCTACTTTGTAAAAGTGATTGTTGAAGAAACCTTAAGCGCTCCACAAAACCATGCTTCTAGATTGCTCTTTGTGTTTGGAGACACACCAAAAATATTTAAGGGGTCCCAGCTGTATGCAGATATATTTATAAGATATATATACAGGGTTTTTGTCGAGACTAACGGGGTTCCGTGACTCCTCAACCATCAATGTAGGTCCGCCTCTGATAACATGTTAGTTGTATACTCGGTTGGTCCATTGCAGTCAAATTTCCGCATTACTGGGTTTGTTTTTACATTATAAACGCAAATAAACTCTATTATTTTAATTATCGTTATTGCTGCTATTATATTACTACGACTTGGATGGATATAGAATTACATACAGTGCAGACAGCAACACCAGCATTAGGTCCACCTATTGAGATAAAATTCTTGACCTGTGGCACAATTAAGTTCCAAAAAAAAAAAAAAAAAACACAAAATGCAAAAATTATTAAACGTAAATAATGAACATAAAGAGATAAACTATTGTTAAAATATAATTGTGATAAAAGTCTCACTGGCGGTGCTCCATCACAAAACTCTATAAGCCCTCTAGCTACCATATTTCCCTGAAAAACACATTTTCCATAAATAAAATATTGATCGTTGCACAATTACTCCCTCCGTCTCAAATTATCTGTTGTGATTTTTAAAAATAATTGTCTCAAGTTATTTGTCATTTTGGAAGCTCCAGATAAAATTAATATATTTTTTCTATTTTAAAGTTATTTTTTCTATATATAGAACATAAATAGAATAAATATTTAATGAAGAGAGATTATATCTTAAGACAAAAATAAGGGTAAAAATAATCCAATGTCCCTCCTAATTAATATTTTCTAAGGGATGTGTAAAAGAAAAACACAATAAATAATTTGAGACCGAGAGAGTAATAAGAAGACAAAAAGGAAAAAGTAAGGGAGACACATTTATGATTAAAGATGAATATTTACCTGTGAGAGACCAACTAAGTTGTAACCTTGTTGAAGTTCATTCATTCCCTTCACCTATAATTTAATTTCAGACATTGTTAATAGGCTTTCAATTTATTTATTTATTTTTTAATCTAAAAAGTATAGTTGAAAAAAGAAACAAAAAGAATAATCTAGTGATGTCTCATTACCTTTTCACAAGCAATTTGAACCTACAAAGTACAGTATGGGCAAAAACAAAGGCACGGATTACAATTCATGAAGAGAACAAGTATTTTATGCAATTAATTCTATCGAAATAATGAGAAAAAATAAGAATCACTACTACCTGATTTTCTAGAGGCATGCTAGTAGAATCAAATGCTCCATTTCCAATTTCTCTACCCAAAAAAAATAATAAAAAAAATTCCAGACATTAATAAACTAAAACAATTTAACTTTAGTACACTGGTGTAAAAATGTTTTACACAATTAGATTAAAATTACCTATAACATTATGTAATTTTCCAAAATAGTATGCCTAATTTGATAACATCAAAGATAAAGTAAATAACATGATCTAATCAGAGGCAGATGTAGCGTAGAATTTATGGCTTCATCTGAACACATAACTTTCGATATGGAGTATATATTAACTTACGAAAAAAGACCAAAAGTTTAACCTGTTACGTACACAACATTATTAGGGGTAATTTGGATTAAAAAATTGGGTACCTTGCTAACTTGCTACCTTCATGTAGTATGTTAGCAAGATTCATATATATATATATATATATATATATATATATATATATATATATATATATTAAATAGTTAATATATTAAATATTAAATTATATATATTTATATACCTATTAAAATTTTAACAATTGTTAGATCTGAATCCATAGTTTTAACATTATAATGAATTCAATGCATGTATTAAATCTATTAAATTTGAATTATGGATTCGCGTCCGGATGTAATAGGTAAGAGTTACACTATTATGGTGTAAAAATTCAACTCGACTTGTATTTCTCACTTCAACCGTAGTCGAAAATGTCAGTAAAATAATAACCATAATAATTTAATTTTGTGGCTCTCTGCAAACTTATTTTTAGTTTTATAAACCTAAACCTTTTTTTTAAAAGATTTACTTTTACACGTAAGAGATCTGTCTTTTACACATAAGAGAACTAAAAAGGTTATATTCTTAATTTAAAATTGTAAAGAGACATGATGTACAAATAACGTACAAGCAGTATCCGTTAGATTTCGACAAGAGGCTGAGTTGTGACGTATAAAATGTAGTTGCTGCATCGTTGCACGACTGTCCAATCCCTGCCATGGAAAATTATCTCATAATTAATTTCCATTTCCATAGGAAAATAAATTACTTAAATGAAATGCTAATACACAGTGGAGTATATAAAAAGATTACCATGCAATAATATGAAAGGAGTAGAAAATGAAAGACATATGGAACTGAAGATAGAGATTATAAAGAGAATGAAAGTTTCTGAACATAAATAAGCCATCGATTAATTAGCTTCTTCTCTTTCTTAGTCTTTTTTTTTTTCTTTTTCTTTTTCTTTTTCTCTAAATATAAGCTGCTTTTTCTTTGTTTTATAGCTTTTGTAAAGAAGAAATGGAGGGATTTACAGAATTCTCAGCTTTAGTAAGTTGGATATATAAGCAATCAGTATGGGGACAAATTTTAAATTATTTCCTTTATTCGTCCTCTTTCTAAATATTTTTCCACTTTTGTTGGATGAGTTTGATTTGGTATCCAATTAGTGCTTTGATTTTTTTGCTTTATAATGTCTTATCGGGTATCCTTTGTCATAACGTCCATTTTCTGCCAAATAAAGAAAAATAATTAAAATGAGTACCAAAAAGCCATAGGTCCAAATTAGTTGGTTATTTCTCATTTTTACGTCATTCAATAAGAAAGGTTTGGTCTATTTTCATAATTCTTCAAGTAGCAAAATTTCAACTTAAAACGGAATGATTAGAACTATTTCATTTCTAGCTAAACACATCACTTTTTTATAATCTTAGCAAATGGAAAGCAACATTTCAGTACACAATCGCAAGTGTAACTCACTACTAGAAAATTAATTATCAAAAACCGTCAACAGAATACCGACCGAAATCGATCGGAAAAAAAATCGACCGAAATCGGTCGGAAAATAGGTAAATTGGTCGCAAAAGTTAAAGAAAATATTTCTCACAAAGATACCGAACACCATCGGTCGAAAATAGTGGTCCCACAACAAAGAAACACTGCTACGTCTGACACATGTAAAAATTCTGACCGATGTCGGACGGAAATTGGTCAATCTTTGACCAAGACCTGGCCATACTTGCATATTATCTAATAAAATAAGTTTTAATTAAAAAATTTCAAGTATACCGACCGAATTCAGGCGAAAATTTGAATTTATTTTTTCACCCAAGATCAATTTATATATATAAAATTTACCGACCGATTTCGGTCGGTATTATTGTTAGATTATTTTTTATTTACAATATCTACATATATATAACAATACACACACACTCTCTCTCACACACACACTCTCTCTCTCTCTCACACACACACACACTGTAGGGAAATGATAATACTGCAATAATATTATTTGTGAGAATACACACGAATTGGCTTGAGTCGTGCTAGGCACTGTCCTAAGAAACTATTTCAGCAATGTAAAATGTTTCCCCAGGATTAAACAAGCCCATCTCCATTTGGGAGGATACAGGAATCAGCAAAATTAAATAATAAATCCAGCAAGTTGGAAGAGAAAGAACAACTAATATCTTACGCCAATCAAAATATTAGAAAAGAAGAAATTAGAAAGAGAGGGACGTATAGGAGGGAAAGAAGATAGAAGGATTTCTTCTTTGCTAATGATTAGCTTTTTTTGGTGTTTGATGATTGAAGAATGATGGCCTAATCATGGCTATTTATAGGCCTAAGGAAAGCTTCTTATATTGCCAAATATTTCATTGCATGAAAGAGGATTGTCACTTGTTTATGGCTTAGCCATTTGACTACATATCTTCATGCAAAGTGCCACATGGTGGGTATTCATAGCCACTTGGCTTAGTAGAGCTATTTGTCACACAATCTTCTAAATCAATGCCACATGTAAAAAATCTTTTGACACATTACCAATAATTATCAACAATCCCCCACATCAAAAGACTTTTTTTGTTTAGGAATACGGAGTAGGAAATAGTAAGACTTGCTGGATTTGCATGGTCCAAATGTAATAGGTTTGGTGTCTTCTGGACTATGAACCAAACTTAGACCAATAAAATTTAACTCACAGAATTACTGGTGAAATGTAATATTTCTATGAACCAATAATTCTTATTGTAAGTCAGAGATTTTATCAATCACATTTGACCCCCGGTAATTTTGCTGTTCAACGCGGTTTTGCGCCCAATAGGCCATGCGCGTGCCTGGTTATTCATGAGAGCTCTAGAGACTAGGCCAAAATCTCATAGGAGCGGCCCACTCCACTCTCATATAGGTGAATTCATCAAGTGTATACTGCTTTTAAATACACCATCCATAAAGGACTATGAATTTCATTAAGAGTTATAACTCAGCCTCTCAATTAGTAGCAGTCAAGCACTCTCTTTTAGTGCATCAGTGCCAATATTGACTTGTTATTACCCATATGAACCTACTTCATGGGATCTCCAATCACATAGGTTGGGTTACCATCTCTATTGGCAACATGTCGGCCTTAACCCCATCTCTTTTGAGGTTTGAAGAATTAATTTTCTTCCCACGGGTTTAGTCAGAGGATAGGCCAAATTAACTTCTGACTTCACATAATCAATGAAAATTATTCCATCTCTCAGCAGCTGCTTTATGACATCATGTCTCAATTTCATGTGTCCACTTTTACAATTATAAGATTTATTCTTTGCTATAGCTATTGCCGCTTGGCAATCACAGTGTATAGACACAGGAGTCAATACATCCTTTATTAAAGGGATATTCGCTAAGAAGTTTCTTAGCCACTCAGCCTCAGAACCAGCTAACTCCAGAGCTACAAACTCTGATTCCATAGTCGATCTAGCAATGATCGTTTGTTTAGCTGATTTCCACGATATTGCACCACCACCAAGGGTGAATACATAACCACTAGTGGATTTTGTCTCATCTGAATCAGAGATCCAGTTTGCATCACTGTACCCTTCTAATGTAGAAGGAAATCCACTATATAGGATACCATAATTCATGGTTCCTCTCAAATATTTCATTAGTCTATCTAATGCAGACCAATGCTCTCTGTTGGGATTATGAGTATATCTACTCAGTCTACACACAGCATAGGCTATATCAGGCCTTGTAAAATTCATTAAATGCATCAGACTCCCAATAATCTGAGTGTATTTAGACTGAACAACTGGGTCACCATTATTCTTTTTCAACTGAGAGTTAGCATCAAAAGGAGTGCTCACAGATGTAACATTAAAATATTCAAACTTCTTAAGAAGTCTCTCAACATAATGTTCTTGTGACAATATTATGCCATCTTCACTCCTTATAACTTTAACTCCCAATATTGTATTTACTTCACCCAGATCTTTCATATCAAAATTAGCTGACATAAATAATTTTGTACTTTGCACAATATTTAAATTTGTACCAAATATAAGCATGTCATCAACATATAGACATATTATCACGTAATCATTGTCTACAACTTTAGTATAAACACATTTATCCACCTCAACTGAAGAAAAATCGTCTCTCAGTAAGACTTGTTCAAATTTCTCATACAACTGCTTAGGAGCTTGTTTAAGGCCATAAAGAGATTTAATTAATTTACAAACTTTATTTTCTTGTCCAGGAATGATACGGCCTTCAGGTTGAACCATATAAATTTCTTCTTCTATATCACCATTCAAAAAAGCAGTTTTGACATCCATTTGGTGGATAAAAAGCTTACGGATTGAAGCTAAGGCAATTAAAACTCGAATAGAAGAAATTCTAGTCACTGGTGCAAATGTATCAAAATAATCTATATTTTATTTTTGATAAAATCCTTTTGCTACTAACCGAGCTTTATATTTATCTAAAGATCCATCAGGATTAAATTTCCTTTTGAAAATCCATTTACAACCAATAGATTTTGCACCATGAGGTAAGTCAGTTAAAATCCATGTAGTATTTTTCTTAATGGAATCAATTTCAACTTTTATTGCCTCTTTCCAATATTTAGCATCTGAAGAAGATATAGCTTCAAAATAATTTGATGGTTCATTATCGACAAGAAAAGTTTGAAAATCATTTCCATAAGGAAAATATTCTTTCCTAGGCCTTTTGCTCCTTCTCAGTTCCTCATTAGAGATAATTTCATTATTTGTTTCAACAGGTGTATGAGAAATTTTATCAAATAATGGATAAATATATTCAAAGAACTCAGCATTCTTTGTCTCAATTATAGTATTGCAATCAAGCACATCACTTTTTAAAACAAGATATCTATATGCAGCACTATGTTCTGCATATCCAATTAGCATGCAGTCAGCAGTTTTAGAACCTATTTTTCTCTTTTTAGGTTCAGGCAAAAGAACTTTAGAAAACCCCCACACTTTTAAATATTTTAAATTAGGCTTATAACCCTTCCAAAATTCATACGGAGTTTTGCCATTTCTTCTATGTGGTATTTTATTTTGTAAGTGACATGCAGATAAAATAGCTTCACCCCACAAGTTATCAGGAGCATTAGAACTAACTAACATGGAGTTCATCATCTCTTTCAATGTTCTATTTTTCCTTTCAGCTACTCCATTTGACTCAGGTGAATAAGGCGGAGTTACTTCATGAATTATTCCATTCTTTTCACAAAAATCATTTAAAGTTAAATATTCTCCACCTCTATCTGATCTAATTCTCTTGATTTTTCTACTAAGTTGATTTTCAACCTCAGTTTTATAAGAAATAAAAGCATTAAATGCATCATCTTTATTTCTAAGCAAATACAACTTAGTATATCTAGAAAAATCATCAATAAAAATCACATAATATCTTTTACCACCTCTAGTCATAGTCTGCTTTAAATCGCCTAAATCAGTGTGAATTAAAGATAACAATTCAGTTTCTCTATTTACAGAAAAACAAGTCTTTCCTGTACTTTTAGCTTCAGCACATATTTCACACTTGTTAATAATATTTGAGTCTAAACCAGATATTAATCGTAGCGACTGCATTTTCTTTATATACGCGACATTAACATGTCCTAGTCTAGCATGCCACAAAGAAATTGACTCAACCATATAAGCAGAAGAAGATGCATTTTCATTGCTAGTATCAGAAATATTAAGCACAAATAAACCATAGTTACAATATCCATTGCCTACAAAAATATCATTTTTGGTCAATACGACCTCATTATTTTCAAATGAAACCTTCACTCCAACTTTTTCTAATAACCCCACAGAAACCAAATTGGTTTGGATATTAGAAACATGCAATATATCACTCAATGCTAGAGTTTTACCAGATGTGAGTTTGAGAAGAATTTTTCCTTTCCCAAGAACGCGAGCTGTTCTTGAGTCACCAAGATAAATAAATTCTTCTCCTTCCTCAATTTGGGTGTAAGACAAAAAT